TCAACCAAAATGTTTAGTGCTCAACTATTGAAGCCTTATCACATATGTAGTTTGTTCTATCTTGGCAGTAAACTTGAGGGGAATGTTATAGGAAGGTTACAGAAACAAATTCACTTGTAAACATACATATAAAATTATTGCAAAACTCAGGAAATCAAATATAAAATGCTAATATCAGAAGAAACTGGGTGTGGGGTATATGGGAACTCTGTATTATCTTGCAACTTTTCTATATATCTAAAATTATTTCAAAGCAAAAACTTATTTTTTTTAAAAAGTTCAGGGAATCAGAACGAGAGTCACAGGTATCAATTTGTCTTCTCTCCAACAGCTTTGCCAGATTGAGGTTTCTTTTCCTCTTTTGCACATTTATTTATGTATTCTATACACTCGGGCCCCCATATATCAGCAAGGAATTAAAGCTGTCATCTTACACCATAGGAGAAAGGCCAGCTTGATGGCTCCTGGTTTGAAGTTCCCTGCTCAAATGCTGATGCAATAGGGTCATGATTGCTCTGTGAGCTTAGCTAGGTTACCCCCGTCTCTACGCTTTGTTTCCATCTTATGCCTAAAGGGACAGATAATACTTACCTCTCACCTCTACTTGAAAAGGAAGGAAGGTTAAAAAGTTAATCTGAATATATTTTTATAAAGGAAAAACATTTTTAAGTTCCAGTTTTGTGCATAATATAGAATATTAATATCTACTGTTTTTGTCAGCCTTAGATAGTAGGCTCCTTGGGGCAGTTCCTGCTCTTTGATTCACAATTGATACTCTTGAGTCCCTTAACAAATAACGATCCCAATTCTTAATTCTAAAGTTTTCATCCTGAAATTTCAGATTCATTTAGAGTAGCTTTTGCAGCCACCCATGAGTACACATCAGTATTAACAATGCACCCATTTTCCTTTACTCAATATTTGTTTTACTTCTAATAGAGGACAAGAGCCTAAGAATCTACCTTTAGAACATTATTTACATCCTGAGAAAGGACTTGTGCCCAGAATCACATGATAACACATAGACCTTGACTCAAGGGCCGACATGTACTCTCCCATTTGGCTGCCATTTCACCCCTGCTGCTCTCTCTCTTTAACCTTTTGGCTCCTCAAGAGAAGTAGCAGAAGCCACAGCATGAGGAATGGTGGTTCTTAGAAGTCACTGAGATCATAGGGGTCCACCCTGCAGGAACAGGGCAGTTTTTGCTACTCCTATCTGGAGGTAAGAAGAGAAGAAAGGTTTTATTATTATTATTAAACCCAAACTGTCAATTTCAGAAGAGGAATTTAGAAGTTTCACAACTAAAAAAAATACATGGTGGTACTGTAATGGTAATGGCTGCTGGTGATGTACACAGCCTTCTATGTCAAAGAGAGAGACAGAGCCTAAAGATTCTTACCCCAGTGGAGCACCACTGGGACTTACACATGAGGAAATCTATTTAACATTTGTTAGCTTCCTGCTCTGCTCTTTCTTCTAAGGAAAAAATTTGCTTTTCTTGGGTAATGATGGAGCTTTTCTTTCCTACAGGCCTAGACTATACATTACTGAGCCTTGAGAAACTGAGAAATCCCCCACTGCGTCCCCTTCTAGAGCCCCTGTTAACCCTTTGCAACACCAAGAGATAAATCACTCCTTTCCAGAAAACACTCAGGCACAAGCACCAGCCCTTCCCCGGAGACCAAGCAGCAGAAAGGGTCTTCTACAGCAGGTGTAAGAGAAAATCTGAGCTCACTCTTTTATTGCCTTGCTCAGGGCTGGCTGTACAATCTTCTCATCAAAACACATAGTGAGAATAATCAGCATAAGGAAGGACCCAAATACAATTAAGATACAAGGATCTGATGAAGTTCAAATATATGACAATTTAGAGCTGCTATGTCAAATATGTTAACCACCAGCCACATGCAGCTACTTAAATTTAAATGTAAATAAACTAGAAACTTAGTTCCCCAGTCACACTAGCCAGTAGTAGCTACTGTATTTCACAGCCCAGATACAGAGCATTTCCATCATTGCAGAAAGTTATACTGGAAATCAGGAAAATACATTTGAATTCTTCAAAGCCTACTATGTTACCTTGTATTCCTTTTAGTAAACATTCATTAAACATCTACTTCTTGCAAGACACTGGACAAGGTACAGTAGAGAAAGATGAATATGACTGTAAGTGGCCCTCAGGAATTTTGAGATTTAGAAATCTAATGTAAGTGACTATCTATAAGCTAGAAATACATGCTATAGAAAAAGAAGATGCATAATGTTGTGCTTAAACAAGTAAAAATGTATGCAGCCATTTCACACTGAGCTTCAGCAGTCACAGAATTCCAAGTGATAAGCACTGTCCTGATTGAGAAGCTGCACATTTCCATGCTGTAAGTTCCACGGAAACAGCATTTGGATGTGTTCCATCAAAATTGCTTTGAAAAATGGTCCAAAGTAAAATTACTTTGGTGAGAAAAAAACACAAAAAACATAAGAGGCACCACATGCTAATGAAAAGAGCACAAGATTTGGCATCAGAAGAGCTATTTGAGAGCCAGCCTTATCTTTACTAGCTGTGTGACACTGTGTAAGCCACTTAACTTCTCTGGGCCTCAGAGAAATGGGAAAAATAGTGCCTACCCCATCTACCCCATAAGGAAATACTGAAATATTAAGATACTGAAAGTACCTCAGAGACAGCAGGACACTATAATATTATTACTACAGAAAGTGACATGAAACTTTGAAAGACATATAAATCCATAATTGCAGGCAAGTAAAAAAAATTTTTTTTTGAGACAGTTTCACTCCATCACCAGGCGACAGACTGGAGTGCAGTGGTGCAACCTTGGCTCACTGACAGGCAAGTAAATTTTAAAGGGCATGTGGAAGGTTCAAGTTCCTCACAATGAAAGCAATCATATTCTCAATCCATGGATTTTTGTTAGATTAGAGAGCACAAACATATACTTCCTGAGCACCTTTAACTCTTCTACAGGGGCCATGGCCAGCCTAAATTCACCCTATATTCATCCCAGATGATAATTTGCCTCATGCCAGCATGAAGGAGGCCATAGCATCAAGGATAAACTTACTTTGAATGACAAATAATTAAAACTTCCTGGCTAGAACAAGTCAACCACTGAATGGGAAAATTGTACTGTTTGTTTGTTTGTTTGTTTGTTTGTTTTTGATACGGAGAATAGGATGGATCAGTGGGATCATTGCTATCCTGTACAAACGGGAGGAAAGAAAGTATTGGAACAATTGCTAACTATGTATTCTGTTGAGTTCATGAAAAATTTTAATAAGAATTTCACACTTTGTAACCACAAGCTTTTGGGTCTGTCCGTGAAAATGCTAAATGCTTCTGTAAACGTAAAAATGATACCACTTTTACTTTCCTGCAACTCCCAGCAATAACATGGGATGATTTCTGTTTCAGCAGAGTGTGTGATCAGAATTGGGTTTTTTTCCAGATGTGCAGAGAATGGTTTCAATTACCTGGTGCCATGCCTTAATTTTTGAGCACCCCCTTGAACCTATTGGGTTTGGCAGTTCCAGCGAAAGACTGAACTGTGGAAGGGGCTGTCCAGCCATGATTTCACCTTGCTAACATGTAGCTGGCACAAGCTAATGTGTAATAGAATAGAAATGCTTATGCTGGGATGCAAGGCACCGAACAGCATAAATTTTTTTTTTTTTTAGGTGTGGCTGTGTTCCAATAAAACTTTATTTACAAATCAGGCTGTGGCCAGATGTGGCCCATAGGCTGTAGTTTGCAGACCTCTACCGTAGACCATTGTTTGTCCATGAGGCCTTGGATTCTTTGAGAACAAGAGCTCCTTAGTTGATTCCCCAGGGGATGGCAGGGCCTTGGGAACCTGGGTAAGGTGGGCCTCAGGGGGCTGAGGCAGGAGATACCAGGAAGAACAGGAGCTGCATCCCGTCCTAGACGACACTAATTCCTAGGTGCACTCCAGAGGCGAGCAGCTTGCGACCTGTGTTGGGCAATAGAATCGAATCCCCTGGGATGCTTGTTTAAAAAGTTGTGCACAGTGGCTCACACCTGTAATCCCAGCACTTTGGGAGCCTGAGGTGGGTGGATCATGTCAGGAGTTCAAGACCAGCCTGACCAACATGGTGAAATCCCATCTGTAATAAAAATACAAAAATTAGCCAGGCATGGTGGCGTGTGCCTGTAATCCCAGCTACTCAGGAGGCTGAGGCAGGAGAATTGCTTAAACCCCGGGAAGTGGAGGTTTCAGTGAGCCAAGATGACACCACTGCACTCCAGCCTGGGTAACAGCCCCCAAAAAACTCCTGGACCCTTGACCCCAGACCTTCCCAAAGGAGGCTTAGGGATTAGGTATCTGGCTGTTGGTGACATAGGTGGTCTGTGAACCAGTTCTGAAACTGTCCCCATGTGGGCTGGGAGTTGATTCTGTTAGTTCTCAGAGGAGGCTTGGATGTCTTGCCTCCTGGACTCCACAGGCTGGTAGAAGCGAGCCTTGAGGAACAGCAGGTGGGAGCCTGACGATAGTTAAATGGGCCAGTCCTGTCCTGCCAGTAGGGGGAACAGCCCACAGAAAACTAGCTCACGACGTGGGGAGCCAATGGCTCTTCCCATCCTGAGTCCCTGACAGTGGGGGCTTTGGATGAGACTTGGAGGGGGTGGTCAGATGGGGGGGTCCAGGTATACTTTTAACATCTGAGAGGCCATTTCGTCTGCCCCCGGGCACATGCTCCCAGCTCTCCGAGGGCCACAGGCCAAGCTGAAGGTTGAAGTCTTCCATATGGAATGGAGATGGGAGGGGTTGGTGCCAGCCCCGCCACCAGGCTGCAGCCTGTGTTCTCCTGATAGGCCTGGTCCCCGCGGTGGCCCCCGAGTTCCTGGGGGAGGAAGGAAGGAGCTGGAGGTTGCAGCGGTGCCTATCTCCAGAGCCCAGGGAGGCAGGGACATAGGAGAGGCAGGCTTGGGTGCCTGCGTGGAATAGTGCCAGGTCCACATTTACCAACTACCAGATGGACTGTTCATTCTAAGCATAACTTGGGTTTGCACTGGGGAGACCCTCGTGGCGGGGGCAGCTGTGATGAGGGCACTTTGAGTCCTGAGGATAGACACTGGCTCCTGTACCCACATCACCACTGCACCCCAGTGGGGAGCCTGGAGGGGAGTTTGTGGTCAGAGCCCCAGTCAGGAAAGGAGAGAGTTCTTGAATGTTCCAAGAGTCTAGCCACAGGCCCCAGACAACAGGAGCTGGAGGGTTAGGATGGGGCGGCCTCCCAGTGCAGTTGGCCCCTGGGGTCCCGGGCCCTGTCAGTGCTGTCTTGAGGGCCGTCTGCCCTGGGTCACAGCAACAGGCAGAGCCGGCGCTTCTTTTGCCGCTGTGTTTTCTTCAGAGCACTGAGAGCCACCTTGGCGGCCTCCCGGAAGACGTCCTCCACATTCTCCCGAAACTTGGCGGAACATTCCATGTAGAGAGCAGCTCGGATCTGTTCGCAGGCGCTCAGGCCCTGCATGTAGGTGATGGGCTCCAGCTGGGCAGCCCGGAGCTTCCGCAGCTGCTCCTTGTCCTTCCTCAGGTCCATCTTGCAGCCGATGAGCACCATTGGGGTCCCACGGCAGAAATGCGTGACCTCAGGGAACCACTTGATGAGGACGTTGTCATAGCTGGTGGGGTTCATGACGTCATAGCAGATGAGCACGAGGTGGGTATTCTGGTAGGACAGGGGCCGCAGCCGGTCACAGTCTTCTTGCCCGGCCGTGTCGTAGAGGTTCAGGGTCACCTCCTTGCTGCCAACTGTCACGCTGGCCGTGTACTTATCGAACACTGACGGGGCGTAGTGCTCGGGGAAGGAGCCCTGGCTGTACACCATGAGCAGCGAGGTCTTGCCGCAGCCGCCGTCGCCCATGATCACGATCTTCAGCTCCTTCCTGCCCGGGTCGGGGGCGGCGGTCGGGACCGGGGCCCCTGGGGCATCCATAGCACGGAGCCAGCAGCACTGGCAGCGGCGTGCCGGGCACCGAACAGCATAAATTTTAAACAAGGAGGTCTAAGGTTAAAATAATAAACTTTAAATGATGTATGCCACATGTGACATTTTGGTTCCAGACGTAACAAACCCAAACCAAAGTCTTTTGCTTGAAAATTCTAAACCAATATTACTCTCCTAGGTTTCTGATTCTGATTTTGCCTGAATTGCTCACAGATTACACTCTGGCAAACTTGGAGACAACACAATACTGTTTAAAATGCACATGCTGGGAAGCCTGCATGATGATCTGCACTAAATCATCCCTAGATTCTTTGTTACTGTGGTCACTTAACCATTTCCACAAATGTGGCATGGACTTTTTCTCCTGGAGAAAAATTTTAAATAATCACTGTTAGTAAGTAGTACAGTGAACTCTCTCCCTCTTCCAATAAAACAATAGACATTTGTTCTAATATAATTGGCCATTTATCCCAGATCTCAGCAATTTATAGCTTAACTGTCGAAAACTGAAATTGCAACATTTTAATAGCAAATTACAGACTTACCAGTCACAGAGGAGTCTGGAAATGGGCTCCAAAAAGCCCAAACTTTGGTATGCATTTCATAACCCAGTTGAAAGATCCAATAGTCTTTCCTTCACTATTTCAAATTCTATTTTTAAATTATTTTGAAAACTTTGAAGTACATATTTTATCTTGAAATGCTTCAACACTTATGTCCTTAAGCTCTGGAGTATAAAACCATCATGGGAATTAGTATTATTTAGTTTTGTGTTGTATCACCATGCCTTTGTGAGGAAGATAAATTATTGATAATCTTTCCTCATTGTATTATAATAAGGCTAATATGGTAGCCAGGAATGGTGGCATGCACCAGTAACCCCAGCAACTCAGGAGACTGAGGTGGGAGGATCACATGAGCCCAGGAGTTCCAGATCAGTGTAGGCAACATAGACAGACCCTGTCTCAAAAAAACAAAAACGAAAAATAAAGGCCAGTATGAGACCCAAGATCACACATGGGATTAGCAGTAAAATCAAACAATGGTGAGTATCTTAGGACCTGAAGTCCAGCTTATTTAAAAATATAGTGATGGCTGATTACTTTAAACTATGCAATAGGTAAATTTGTTATAAAAGTACTATATAACACAATAATAAAATATTAAAATAACAGTAAGAAAATCAGTGAGATGGTTCCTAAATCACAGCGTTATTGTATGCTAGGTGGTTAAATGCCTTTTTACTTCTTCAGTAAAACTACTTACAGGGAAAATAATATACCATTAAGGCACAAGTAGAAGTAGAGAAATAAAAATGAGATGTAATCCAGGTATGTCCAGATGAAAGCTAAAGAAAGCAATGCACTGTGAGATAAAGCCAAAGGGAGTCAAATGACCACAGAATTTCAAAGCTGAAAAAATCTGACAGCTCATCTATTCTACCCCAGCATTTTACTTAATAAAAATAAGAAAAACGAGGCCAAAGTAAGGAACTGACCCTAAATTGAGAACAGAGTTCAAACCACAATCAATTTCTAGTAGAAATAGATTTTTCTAGTAGACCCAAGTCTTCAGTTCCAGTCTTCAGTCTATCCATAGACTGAATTGTCTATGGATAACTCTAGGCAAATCACAGAATCCTTCCATACCTCTGATTTCTCCTCTGTAAAAGAAGAATAATATCAACCACTTATCAACCAAGATAGTGGTGCAATATTATTATGTTGACAATTAGCATAATAAAGTTATACACGCTAAAGAATAAAAAAAAATCAAAGCAGTTTGTTTTTTAATGATTATTTGCCAGATATAGGTGAAAGGGAGGAAGGCAGCAAATCACACTGCCACGTGTGTACCTATGCAACTATCTTGCATGTTCTTCACATGTACCCCAAAACCTAAAATGCAATAAAAAAATAAATAAAATTTTTAAAAAAAGATTATTTGAAGTTACACATGGATATGAAATTCTCAAAGTTCAGGGCCTTAAAGAAGGCTGAAGTCAGTAAATCCACAATCCAGTCATAAAACAAAGATGTATTAACCCCCTTCAAATGCTTTTCCAAAGTTATCCAAGTCAAAATAATCATTGAGAAGAAAAGAAAATCATGGCATCTGAATTAATAGGCAGTAGACATTTGAAACAAGGAACTGAAATAATTGTGCAAATTTACATTGTGGAATTTTCCTTTGTGTTCTTCTCATAATTATTCATGATATAGGCAATATCATTTGCAAGCAAAGATAAACACTCTTTACTAATACCAGCAAACATTCTTTGCTGCAAAAACTTACTAATGAACATCTTCTCACCAGTGGGCTCCTATCTCCTACCCAGAAGAAAAACAAACTAATTATTTTTCTTGAAATTTTTCAATTTTTATATTATATTTTCTATATTATGCAAAAAAATGACTGAAAGTCTATGAGCCCTTTAAATCATATTTTATTGCAATGTTCTTCACTTAGTCATATTATAGGAAGAGAGACCATTCTTGATATGTCTTTATGAAAGATGTCAATATGTTATCACTTTTCACTTCAAATTATACTGAAGAAATTGGCATAGAAATAGATCATTAGCTTATTCTATTATAATTAATGTGTTTGTGATTAAAGAAAATAAGAGTTCTGTGTGATCCTGTGATTTCAGTTATAATCAATATGAACAACCAATAAGTTGTTTAAAATCAAGGTTGATCAGAAATGAGCCCAACACATAGGCCACTACAGTACTGGGGGGGGGGGTTCCTTTTTATCTTAGATTTATCTTTTATTTAATTTTTAATTTTTATGTATACATAATAGTCATATGGGTGGAGATAGGGCGAAATTTTTTTTTTTTTTTTGAGACGGAGTCTGGCTCTGTCACCAGGCTGGAGTGCAGTGGTGCCATCTTGGCTCACTGCAACCTCCACCTCCAGGGTTCAAGCAATTCTCCTACCTCAGCCTCCCGAGTAGCTGGGACTACAGATACCTGCTACCACATCACCATGCCCAGCTAATTTTTGTATTTTTAGTAGAGATGAGGTTTCACCAATTGGCCAGGATGGTCTCGAACTCTTGACCTTGTGATCTGCCCTCCTTGGCCTCCCAAAGTGCTGAGATTACAGGCGTGAGCCACCATGCCCAGCCAGGGAGTACTCTTAAAGGTAGAGGCCCTATGGTAAAGTAATGGAGACTAGAGGTGGGAAAGGACTTCTGTTTCTAGCCACACAGAGAAACTTTTCCTCTTAACCATAAAACTTGACAAGACATGAGAAATAACTGTTTTCAGATGTCATACAATGGACAAAATCTGATTCCTGAGAGAAGGAAAACAAACAAGGCAAGCCTAGAAGTACTTTACGAACTCTGTATCGGATGCTGATGAAACAAAGATCAGAATTCAGTGCACTGGGACAACTGGAATTCATAGGACATGGTATAGAATAGAAAGGGGCTATGTAATCTGTTTGTACAAATACATAATTCCAAGTTGAGAAAAGTGCTACAAATGAATGGATAAGAGATCCAGGAATCTGCATAGGAGATCCTTGAGTCTTTGGCTGAATACTAAGCAACAGATGTTAAACAAGACTACATTAAGCCAAGGAAAGGACTACAGGGGAGCTGTGGGCTGAACAACTATCAGAGGTCCCCCAGGACTTGGAAATGTTCAAATTTCAGCCTCAGTGGCAGCCTCAGTAAACACTCTATGAGCATTCCACAGACCCTAGAAAGACCATACCTTAAGAGGAAAACCACTATAGCCCTAGTAAAGGTACTCTACAACACCTGTCCTAACAAAGCTGAAAGATAAGCCTCAAAAGGATCATACTAATGGCTGTTTTGCCAAGCACACCATGTAAACCCAGAAGTAATACAAGATTTTGACTACACTGCTTATTAATTCATGGCCAGTGTGTATCTGTGCTACACTAGGTCAAACTATCTTATTCCAGATCTGTGAGCAAAATCCTAAGTGACCAAGAAGTGAACTGAATAAAAAAATGGATGTGGACTCCATTTTTTCTTATTTGGTATTTCAAAACAAGTCAGAAGTTTACAAATTCTGCACAGTCTCACCAGGAAATCTCAAATTAATTAATGGACTTCATTAAGCAAGCTTGAAACATATCTCAGTATTTTCACAAATCCCTCAAACACTCATTGGCACAACTGAACTCCTTTCTCCTATAATACTCTCTTTTATAATGTGTGTTGGTGTGAGGCAATGTGCTGAGCTCTTTACATGCATCATCTCATCTCAACAACTCTATGGGGTGGAATTAATATTACTCATATTTACAGATGAGAAAATAGATGCTTGGGGAGGTTTGGTATAATGTGCTAAATGTCATACCAGATGGAGGAGTGTTTCTAACCCACAGATGCAGGATTCCAAAGCCAAGCACTTATTCATATTCAACCAATACTGAGGTTGAACATATGAAATCTACTCTCACACACTCTCAGAATCCATTCCCACACAAAAATTCCCACAAAAACAGCAATCAGGTCAGTAAATAAATGCCAAACTTTCCTTTATGCTTCTTGCCTGGTTCCTTCCTATTTCAGGCAGCTGTAGGAAACTAAATTGTATAAATTTTTGTTTTGAGTGAGGGGACATGGTAGCATTTTTAAATTATGGGGTCTGAAAAACTTTGTTGTGGTATTTTTATTAGAAATGGCAATTTCTAAAGGAGGCCAAATTCTTTGATACTCTCTTCTCTAACCTCTCATCTATAATTTTACTCTAAACAAAAGTTTCCCTATTGGCTTGGCTAATCATTCAAAGATGCCACAGACATTCTTAAGTGTTTAGACCTTCATGAAAGACCCAACTCTTACAAAGGCTCACAGTGTAATTTTAAACAAGTCAGTGATTCTTCCTGGGCCTCAGTTTCTTTGACTGTAAAGTAAGAACCTTGAACTACATTGGCATTCCCTGAATTTCATACCACAAAATATCAGTGCTAAGAGATACTCCTCTCAAAAAAAGAATCTCCAGGTCAAATAAGTAAAAGAAAAGCTACAAACAACAACCCCATTTAAAGATTGATAATCCATTAACAAGGGATAATATGTTAGCATATTAAAATCCCAGAAAAGTCCCACAGTAAAGAAACCTTAACTTCATTTAATCTCAAATTTTCCAAATTTATGGGACCTGAAACCATTTCCCTAGGGGGGAAAAATTGTCTATAAGCATTTCATTGAAAGTAACTATGTATTGATTACCTACTATGTGCCAGACACTGCACCAGGTATTGTGGTGTCTCTAATATCATATTACATCAGGACATCACAGTATCTTAAATGATACTAACATAACTTATGAGATACTCATATAATTAGCATCACTTAAGATGATATCTGAAGAATGAGAAGAGGTCTGCATACGGAGGGCAGGGGAAGGTATTCCAGGCAAAATACCAGCATCTGTGATAACCTTTGGGTATGAAACTGCTTAACAAGTTAAGAGAATTGAAAGGCCAGTGAGACAGAAGAGGATGCAACTCCAGGAGGGACTGGAGAAACTGGCAGGGGCCAGATCATGAAGAGGTTCTACACCATATAAAAAAGCTTGGTTTTACTCTAAGTACAATGGAAAGTTTAAACTGGGAAGTCACCTGATATAATTTTTTGTGTGTTTTTTAACCAATTTTATTGTGTATATATGAAGTTTACAAAATGATGTTATAGAATACAGATAGAAAATAGTCACTATAGTGAAGCAAATTAACATATCTATCATCTTGCATGTTTAAGCATCTTACATGTTTAAGCATCTTACATGTTTAAGCATTTTTGCTGCTTTGTGACATAAGCAGCAAAAATCTACCTAACAAAAATTCCTAATACTGTAATGGGATTCTTAAGGTGTCACTTCACCAGCCAGAAACCTCTGTTGACAGTGACACCTTTGCCCAAGTTTTGCTCAGGCCTGTTGACTCATTCCACCCACTTGACCTGAAAGGCTGCATTCAGTTCAGGCTTCTGGCCTGGACCCCATGCCTACCAAGGGCAAGCCAGGCACAGAGCAGTGAGGGGTGTGTGAGTGAGTGTGGGGTCCAGCCACTGCCTAGAGCCAGGCATACTGGCTGCAGTGGAATGGCCAGCTGCAGGCACTGGCATGGGTGCTGGCTCCCTGCAAGGCTGCAGCTGGACCAGGTGTACTGCAAGCAGATTCCACGGCTGGCACTGAGGAACACAGTGGCACCTAGAAGCTTGGAGACACCAGGAACTGCCGAGCCTAAAGAGGGTGTCACAGTCACGGTGCGGGTGGCTTCTAGGTCTGGGCTTCCTGAAGGGCTGAAGCTCTTCTGTCCTTCTCTCTTCTTTCCTTCTTGTCACCCACAACATGGCAAACAAGAGGCCTATTTCAGCCCTATTTGTGTTACAGCTCTTTTAGTCCGACCCATTCAGTGAGTCCTAAGTTCTTATCCTGCATCTAGGAAGACTGAGGTACACAGAGAAGTAGAGGGTGAGCAAGGTGAAGGGGAGTTTTACTGGGCGACAGAACAGATCAGAGGAGTCCCACAGAGGGTAGCTCCTCTCCACAGACAGGGTATTGCAGTGAGTGTTCAGCTCCCAGCAGAAAGGAGACCCTGTAGTGGATAGGTCCTCTCTGCACACAGGTTGTCATGTTATCTGCTCAGCTCTCAGAAAAGAGGAGACCCTTGTGCAGGTAGATCCTCTCCACAGCTGGCCATCCCATCATCTCCTCAAGTCTGGCTGAGTCCAGGGCTTTTATGGGCCTCAGAGGGGAGAAAGTGCACACCAAGTGGTCCATGAGCAGCCATGGGCAGGCCCAGAAAAAACACCACAACTTCCTACTTCAGTTCACAGTACTGGCAACCCAGTCCCCAGGATTCAAACCCTCCCTAGCTTGAAGGTGGGGCTTAACTGGGGACCCACACCCTTCCACATAGGAGCCTGTCTGCCTCCTGCCACCGTTCATGGTGCCCAGGCTGCTCACACCGAGGGACACCTGTAGGCAAGCACCAAATTGCCCTCAGCCCCTTTGGCCTCCCTCCCATGCTCATCACCAAACTGCCCTGAGCCCTTCTTTGGCATCCCTCCCATGCTCGTCAGTGCCCAAAGTCCAGAGGGGTCAAGGCAGCAGGGGGATGGCATATCAGTGCCGCCTAGAGTGTGTGCACACCCAGCTGGGTTATGACAGCACCAAGGCTTGGCCTCAACCTTGCTCTAAAATCAGAGTAGGCACCAGGAGTGGTGAGAGGGCAGGCATTGGAAGCAGACACCTCCAGGTCTACAGGAGACGGCGGGGGGTGCCTTCCCAGGCTCCCAAGAATGCAGAGATGCCCAGGTCCACATCCACAACTTGGGTGGCTGCAGCTGTGCCCAGGAGAGTGAGCTCCAGTCTGATTCCAGCCCTTGCTGGCTCCATGGAGCATGCAGCCTCAGCAGCACCTCCCCTACTGCAGCCAGCATCATGGCAGCAGCCACTCCAGATGGGCCACTGCTGCCATTAATACAGGACAATTTTATTAACTTTAGTGCTCATATTGTACCTTAGATCTCTAAACTTGTTCATCCTACATAACTGCTATTTTATAGCCTTTGACCTACATCTCCTTATTTCCCTGCCTCCTCCCCTCCATTCATGGTAACCACTGTTTCATTCCCTAACTCTGTGTATTTTCGCCATACATAGGCGGAATATATATATAAAACATATATGTATATATAACATATATTTAACATACATGTATGTACATATATATGTTTTATATATATATATGTTATATATATATTTTTTTTTCCACACATAAAAGCAAGATTGACCAGGTGTGGTGGCTCATGCCTGTAATCCCAGTACTCCCAGTGCTTTGGAAGGCCAAGGTGGGCAGATCACTTAAGGTCAGGAGTTCGAGACCAACCTGACCAACATGGAGAAACTCCGTCTCTACTAAAAATACAATATTAGCCAATGTGGTGCCACACATCTGTAATCCCAGCTATTAGGGAGGCTTAGGCAGGAGAATCACTTGAACCCAGGAGGTGGAGGTTGGGGTGAGCCAAGATCTTGCCATTGCACTCCAGCCTGGGCAACAAAAGTGAAGCTCCATCAAAAAAGGGAAAAAAAAAGTGAGATCATGCAATATTTCTTTCTCTGCCTCTGGCTTATTTCACTTAGCATAATGTCCTCCAGGTCCATCCATGTTGTGGCAAATAGCAGGATTTCATTCCTTTTAAAACTGAATAATATTCCATTGAATATATATATGCATATATACACACACATATATATATATACATATATACATATACACACACAGACATACATACATATATATATATTTTCTTTATCCAGTTGTCTGTAAATGGACATTTAGGTTGTTCCATCTCTTGACTAATTTGAAAAATGCTTCAGTGACATGGGAGTGCAGATATCTTTACAAAGTGGTCACATAGTCTCATTTATTTATTTCTGTTTTTGTTGCCCGAGATTTTGGTGGAATTTGTTTTTGAAAAGGTCACCCTGTGAAGAATAGCTTGAAAGGGCAGAATACTTAGGAAGAACAAAAAGCTGTATTAGTTTTGACTGCAACTGTAATAAATGGCCAAAAATTTAGTGGCTTAAACAATAGCAATTTAGTTACATACAGTTCCGTAGGTCTGATGTCTGACATGGGTCGCACTGGGCTAAAATCAAGGTATTGGCACTGCATTCCTTTCGGGGGGATATAGAGGTGAATCAATTTCTTGCTTATTCAGATTGTTTGCAGAATTCAGTTTCTTGTGATTTTAAAGCTAAAGTCCCTGTTTTCTTGCTGGCTACAAATTGAGGGCCATTCTCGGCTTCTATAGGTCACTGACATTTCTTGGCTTGTGGCTGCCTACCTCTGTCTTCAAAGTCAGAAATAGTGTGTAGATTCTCTCATGCTTCAAATCACTCCTTCTTCCATTTCATTAGTCTGATTCAGTCAAGAATTTTTTTTTTTTTTGCTTCTAAGGATGCATGTGATTAAATCATACCCACCCAGATAATTCAGTATAATCTCATTATCTGAAGGTTCAAACCCTTAAATCACATTGACAAATCCCTTTTGCCATGTAAGATAACATATTCTCAGATTCTAAGGATTAAGTTGTGGACATCTTAACTGTGTTAGCAATTCTAAGTGAGATGAGGCCAATTAGACTAATGTGGTGGCAATGAGTAAAGGCAGACAGATTTCAGGCATGTTTTGAAGACAGAACCAATCAGCTGATTGGTGATCCCACAGGTTGAGAAGTGGGGACAAGAGGAGGGAATCAAGGCTGGCTCCTAAATTCTTGGCCTTTCAGGCTCATCAGCTGAGTGTCAGGGAATGCCTTTCAAAAAAATTAAGAAGTCTGGGAGTAAAACCAATTTTAGAGAAAAATTCAGGAGTTCTGTTTTCTCTGGAACATCCCAAGAGAAACATTAAACAGATCATCTCTGGGATCTCTTACTATTTTAACATTCTAAGTCACTAAAAATACCTTCTCCATTCAGAAGCCATCATGCCACAATTTTTATAACTAATATCTATTTCTGTTATCTTAAGCAATATAATAGATATCCAAGAGTAACTTGTTACTGACTCAGCACATCCTTTGGAATGGAAGTAAGCTTGTTATATTATCTATTATTGTGTAAAAAAAATTTATCCAAAAATTTAACAGCTTAGAACAACAGTTTCTGTGAGTCAGGAATCTAAACATGATCATCTGCTTCATGGTCTCTCATGAGGCTGTAATCAAACTACTGGCAAGGGCTGGGGTATCAACTGAAAGTTCAACTGAGGAAAAATCCAATCTCAAACTCAATTAAGGGGTTATTAGCAGGATTCAGTTGCTTTAGTGTTTTACTGAGGGCCTCAATTACTTTCAGGCTGCTGTCCAGAGCCCACCCTTAGTTCCTTGCCAAGTGGACCTCTACACCATGGCAGTTTATTTCATCAAAGCTAGCAAGAAAGAGAAAGTCTGCTAGGAAGTCACAATATTTTATAACCTAATTACAGAAATGAAATGACCCCAACGTTGTCATATTCTGTGAGTTAGAAGCAGGTTACTTAGGCGGAGGGAATTACATAAAACTATGATAAATACCAGGAGACAGGAATCCTTGGGAGCCATCATAGAGGTTGCGGACCACATTAGGGGTTTGAAGAACTCAAAGAAGAGATAAAGGAAAATGAAAGTGGAAAGGAAAAGTGAGAAGGGTAACCTTCATCTTCTCAATTTTTTAGGGCTGCAATCTTAAAACAGTATCCTCAGTCAGTAGAGTGCTCCCTGGAGAGGTGATTAGGAAACTAGTTAAGAGGTAGAAAAGGATAGCCTGAGAAGGATTGCAAGTCAGTTTGGCAGTAACTTCTAAAGATTATAGCTGGAAAAAAAGGTTAGAACAAGTTATTTTTAAATATTTTCAATTCAAAATTAATTTATTAAAAAAAGACTTTTAGCAGAATTGGAGCAAATTACAAGATGGAAAAAAACAGTAATATTTTAGAAAACATACTAATCAGTTCCCAGCAATATTAAAAAATATAGTAAGTAATTGCTAATGGAAATATCTTAAAAATAGAATGCTTCATTCCATTACTGGGTATATACCCAAAGAAAAATAAATCATTCTATGAAAAAATATATATGCACTTATGTTTATCACAGCACCATTCACAATGGCAAAGACATGGAATCAATCTAGGTGCCCATCAATAGTAGACTGGACAAAGATAATGTGTATAACACGCCATAGAATGTTACCCAGCCACAAAAAAAGAATGAAATCATATCCTTTGCAGCAACATGGTGCAATTGCAGGCCATTATCCTAAGCAAATTAATACAGAAATGGAAAACCAAATACCTCATGTTCTTTCTCACTTATTGGTTGGAGCTAAGCATTGACATAAAAATGGGAACAACACATGCTGGGGAGTATTAGAGAAAAGCAAGGGCTGAAAAACTATCTGGGGGAGTATTAGAGAGGAGCAAGGGCTGAAAAACTATCTGTTGGGTACTATGCTCAGTACCTGAGTGGCAGGATCATTCATATCTCAAACCTCAACATCACACAATATACCCATGTAACAAACCTGCATATACACCCCAAATCTAAAATAAAAGTTAAAATTATTTTCCTAAAAAGTAGAATGGTTCCAAATCCTGCCATTTGGTACATGATCTTACACATTGCCTTAAATAAACAAAAAGTAGAAATACAGGCAAGAACTACTTCTCTGATCTTCTTAAGAAACATCTGTGTGGGAAGAAGATACAAGATGGGCGATTAGACACAACTCCAGCACAAACACCCAGCGAGAGAGAGATGCAGAAATCCAGAGATCTCCTAGCTCCAACCGAGGTACCAGGTGCATTACAATGGGTCTGGTGTGACGGTGAGCAAAGCCAACTCAGGACAGACTGAGGCCAGGCCGAGAGGGATGCTACTTCATCCAGAAAGCGCATCTGATCAGCGAGTCGGAGGCTCCCCCCTCTGGCGCTCCAGACCAGATATAGTGCTTCCCCCAAAGCCTCAGCAATACACAGAACAGGGGATCTTTGCCAGTGAAGTGCCTGGAATTACAAGTACCAAGATGAGTAAGAGCCTGCAGACTGAACTATCACCCCCTCCCCCTCCCGGAGACAGAGGGAGCTGTAAGCAGGAGCAGCTGGGCGGGTCCCCTACCCCATGAACAGAGAGAAAAGAAGCTGTAAGTGGGAGATGGCCGGGTGCGGCAGGGCGGGTCCCTACTCTTCCCCACAAGCCCCAGAGGGCTGAAGCCCTGATTCTAGTGGGTTGCGCAGCCAGTGCCACAGTCTGAGATGAACCCTGAATGACCTAGCCCAGTGGAGGAAGGGCACAACCCACCACTAGAGGAATGGAATAGGGCTACATGTTTAAACAAAAAATGCAGGAAGCCTACATAGCAATGGGATGGTGTTCTTGACAACACAGCAGCGCCTACAGGTCAGTGAAAGAGGTAGGCCTAATCTCCCAGTATAAACAAAAAAGACACAGGAAGCTTCCCTACTAAGCTGAAGGACTCCCTAGAAACCCTATGGCACCTCCGCAGGCAGACAGGCAACCTCATCAAGCACCTCCCTGACATCATAGCCATGTAATCCACAAAGATGGGAAAAAAACAGTGCAAAAAAGATGAAACCATCAAAGACCAGAACACCTCTTCTCCTTCAAGGGATCACACAACTCCTCAACAACACAGGAACACAACTTGACCAGGGAGTGCAACGAACTGACAGAAACAGTCTTCAGAAGGTGAATAATAACAAATTTTTCTGAGCTAAAGGAACACGTTCTAACTCAATGCAAAGAAACCAAAAACCTTGAAAAAAGGTTAGACAAAATGTTAACTAGAATAACGAGCTTAGAGAAGAACATAAACGACTTGATGGAGTTGAAAAACACAGCATGAGAACTATGTGAAGCAAACACAAGTTTTAATAGCTGAATCGACAAGCAGAAGAAAGGATATCAGAGACTGAAGATCAACTCAATGAAATAAAAACAGAAGGCAAGAAAAAAGAGTGAAAATAAATGAACAAAGCCTCCAAGAAATATCGGATTATATAAAAAGACCTAATCTACGCTTGATTGGTGTACCTGAATATGATGGGAAGAATAAATCCAAGCTGGAAAACACGCTCCAGGATATTATCCAGGAGAACTTCCCAAGCCTAGCAAGACAGTCCAAATTTCAAATTCAAGAAATACAGAGAACTCCACAAAGATATTCCTCAAGAAGAGCAAGCCCAAGGCACATAATCATCAGATTCACCAAGGTTGAAAAGAAGGAAAAAATGCTAAGGGCAGTCAGAGAGAAAGGTCAGGTCACCCACAAAGGGAAGCCAATCAGACTCACAGCACATTTCTTGGCAGAAACCCTACAAGCCAGAAGAGAGTGGGGGCCAATATTCCACATGCTTAAAGAAAAGAACTTTCAACCCAGAATCTCATATCCAGCCAAACTAAGCTTCAAACGTGAAGGAGAAATAAAATCCTTTGCAGACAAGCATTATTGAGAGATTTCGTCACCACCAGACCTGCCCTACAAGAGCTCCTGAAAGAAACACTAAGCACAGAAGGGAACAAGTACCAGTCACTGCAAAAGCGAACCAGTTGGCAATGACCAAAAATGCAATGAAGAAAATGAGTCAACTAATGGGAAAGAAAACCAGCCAGTTACAAAATGGCAGGATCAAATTCACACATAACAATATTAACATTGAATGTAAATGGCCTAAATGCCCCAATCAAAAGACACAGACTGGCAAACTGGATGAAAAGTCAGAACCCAATGGTGCGCTGTATTCAGGAAACCATTAGACATACAAAGACACACACAGACTCAAAATAAAGACATGAAAGAAGATTTACCAAGCAAATGGAGAACAAAAAAAAGCAGAGGTTGCAATCCTAGTCTCTGATAAAATGGACTGCAAACCAACACAGAACAAAAGACACAAAGAAGGACACTACATAATGGTAAAAGGATCAATCCAACAGGGAGAACTAACTATCCTAAATATATATACCCCCAACACAGGAGCACTGAGATACATAAAGCAAGTTCTTAACAACCTAAAATGAGATTCAGACGCCCACACAATAATTGTGGGAGACTTCAGCACTCTATCTGTCAATATTAGATAGATCAATTAGACAGAAAATAAACAAGGATATCCAGGACTTGAATGCAGAGCTGGACCAAGCAGACCTAATAGACATATACAGAATGCTTCACCCCAAATCCATAGAATATACATTTTTCTCAGCATCACATTGTACTTTCTAAAATTGACCATATCATTGAAAGCAAATTACTCCTCAGCAAATGCAAAAGAACAGAAATCATAACAAATAGTCTATCAGACCACAGCACAGTCAGATTTGAACCCAGGATCAAGAAACACACTCAAACCTGCACAAGCACCGGGAAACTGAACAATTTGCTTCCAAGTATCAATTGGATAAACAATGAAACAAAGGCAAAAATAAAGATGTTCTTCAAAACCAACCAGAATGAAGACACAACTTACCAGAATCTCTGGGACACCTTTAAAGTAGTGTCTAGAGGGAAATTTAAAAGCAATAAATGCCCACCAGAGAAGAGAGGAAAGATCTAAAATCAACACCCTATTGTCAAAATTGAAAGAGCTAGAAACTCAAACGCTAGCAGAAGACAAGAAATAACTAAGATCACAGCAGAACTGAAGGAGATAGAGACACAAAAAGTCCTTCAAAATATCAATAAATCCAGGATCTGTTTTTCTAAAAAGATCAACAAAATAGACCACTAGCCAGATTAATTTAAAAAAGGGAGAAGAATCAAAATGATGCAATAAAAAATGATAAAGGGGATATCAGCACTGATCCAACAGAAATACAAACTACCGTCAGAGATTACTACAAACAGCTCTACTCAAATAAACCAGTAAACCAGGAAGAAATAGATAAATTCCTAGACACTTGTACTCTACCAAGACTAAACCAGGAGGAAGTTGAAACCCTGACTAGACCAATAACAAGGGCTGAAGTAGAGGCTGCAATCAATAGCCTACCAACCAAAAAAAGTCCAGATCCAGACAGGTTCACAGCCGAATTCTACCAGACATCCAAAGAGGAGCCAGTTCTATTCCTTTTGAAAATGTATGAAACAACACAAAAGGAGGGAATCCTCCCTAACTCATTTTATGAGACCAACATCATCCTGATACCAAAACCAGACAGAGACTCAACTGAAAAAGAAAACTTCAGGCCAATATCCATGATAAACATAGATGCAAAAATCTTCAATAAAATACTGGCAAACAAATTGCAACAGCACATCAAGAAGCTTATCCTTCATGACCAAGTAGGCTTCACCCCAGGGATGCAAGGCTGTTTCAACATACACAAGTCTATAAACTTAATTCACCACATAAACAGAACCAAAGACAAAAACCACATGATTATCTCAATAGATACAGAAAAGGCCTTCAATAAAATTCAACAGCTTTCATGCTAAAAACTCTCAATAAACTAGGTATTGACAGAAAGTATCATAAAATAATAAAAGCTATATATGACAAACCTACAGCCATTATCATAAAAAACGGGCAAAAGGTGGAAGAATTCTCTTTGAAATCAGGCACTACACAAGGATGCCCTCTCTCACCATTCCTATTCAATGTAGTATTAGAAGTTCTAGCCAGATCAATCAGGCAAGAAAGAGAAATAAAGGGTATTCAATTAGGAAAGGAAAAAGTCAAACTGTCTCTATTTGCAGACAACATGATTGTATATCTAGAAGACCCCATTGTCTCAGCCCAAAATCTTCTCATACTGATAAGCAACTTCAGAAAAGTCTCAGGATACAAAATCAGTGTGCAGAAATCATAAGAATTCCTATATACCAATAACAGACAAACAGGGAGCCAAATCAAGAGGGAACTCCCATTCACAATTGCTACAAAGGGAATAAAATACCTAGGAATACAATTAACAAAGGATGTAAAGAACCTCTTCAAGGAGAACTACAAACCAGTGCTCAACAAAATAAGAGAGGACACAAACAGATGGAAAAACATTCCATGCTCATGGTTAGGAAGAATCAATAGGGTGAAAATGGCCATACTGCCCAAAGTAATCTATAGATTCAATGCTATCCCCATGAAGCTACCAAGACCTTCACAGAACTGGAAAAAACCACCATGAACTTCATATGGAATTACAAGAGAGCCCACATACCCAAGACAATCCTAAGCAAAAGAACAAATCCAGAGGCATCACACTGCCTGACTTCAAATTATACTGCAAGGCTACAGTAATCAAAACAGCATGGTACTGGTACCAAAACAAAGACATAGACCAATGGAATAGAACAGAGACCCCAGAAGAAACATCACACATCTACAACCTTCTGATCTTTGACAAATCCAGCAAAAACAAGCAATGAGAAAACAACTCCATGTTTAATAAATGGTGTTGGAAAAACAGGCTAGCAATTTGCAGAAAGCAGAAACTGGACCCCTACCTGTCACCTTATACTAAAATTAACTCCAAATGGATTAAAGATTCAAACATAAAACCTAACACCATAAAAACACTAGAAGAAAACCTATGCAATACTATTCAGGACATAGGCATAGGCAAGGACTTCATGACTAAAACACCAAAAGCAATGGCAATAAAAGCCCAGATAGACAAATGGAATCTAATTAAACTCCCGAGCTTCTATACAGCAAAAGAAACCATCATTAGAGTGAATTGGCAACCAACAGAACAGGAAAAAATATTTGCAATCTACCCATCTGACAAAGGGCTAATATCCAGAATCTACAAAGAACTAAAACAGATATACAAGAAAAAAACAAACAATGTCATAAAAAAAAGTGGGCAAAAAATATGAACAGACACTTTTCAAAATAAGACATATGAGGCCAACAAACATAAAAAATGTTCAACATCACTGGTAATTAGAGAAATGCAAATCGAAACCACATTGAGATATCATCTCACACCAGTTAGAACGGTGATCATTAAAAAATATGGAGACAACAGATGCTGGAAAGGATGTGGAAAAATAGGAACACTTTTATACAGTTGGTGGGAGTGTAAATTAGTTCAACCACTGTGGAAGGCAGTGTGGTGATTTCTCAAGGATCTAGAAATGAAAATTCCATTTGACCCAGCAATCCCATTACTGGGTATATACACAAAAAACTATAAATCGTTCTACTATAAAGACACATGCACACGTATGTTCATTGCAGCCCTGTGTACAATAGCAAAGACCTGGAACCAACCCATATGCCCATCAATGATAGACTTAACAAAGAAAATGTGATAAATATACACCATGTAACACTACGCAGCCATAAAAAACAATTAATTCATGCCCTTTGTAGGGCCTTGGATGAATCTGGAAACCATCATTCTCAGCAAACTGACACAAGAACAGAAAGCCAAACACCGTATGTTCTCACTCATAGGTGGGTGTTGAACAACGAGAACAGGTGGACCCAGGGAGAGGAGCATCACACACTGGGGGCAGTTGCAGGGGTAGGGGAGAGACAGCAGGGGGTGGGGAGGAAGGGGAGGGTGGGAGGGATAACATAAGGAGAAATGCCAGATATAGTATGCACCTAAAGTAAAATAAATAAATTTTTTTAAAAAAAGAAAAATAGGAGGACTCAAGATGGTGCTGTGAGAACAACCCAGGATTGAAGCTCTCATTGAATCCGCAAAGAGGTGAGTCAGAGCTGCATTTCCAGATTGATCTTTGTTGCCCACAGAACGAAAAAATTCCGAAGTATAAAAGAGATGCGGGACGCCAGGCAGACATACCGCCTGGAGAAGCCGGCAGCCGGGGTGGCATGGCCGGCCCTACCCAACGCTCCCCACAGGACGCGCTTGTCCAGGTGCCCTGTTGAACCGGCAACCTGAGACTTGAGAGGGCTGGACTTGAGATTGAACAAGACTCAGAAAGTGGGCAAGCCCAGGAAATTGCAGGGACACAGCGTTTGGGGTAGCCCAGTGGGACGAACAAAACCGCGATTCCAAACGCTCCCCGTGCAGACGGTCCCTGAGACGCTCTGTCGGGGAGGGGCGTCCACCATTACAAAGGCAAGCCGCCCCTACTGAGATACGTGCCCACTGCTGATGCAGCGTACCGTTGCCAAGGCAACCCGCCCCTACTGTGATACACGCCCACTGCTGATGCACCCTGCCGTTGCCAAGGCAACCCGCTACAACAGAGAGACTCCGTCGCAGGGCGTAGCCCATGGTGGAGAACGCAGCAGCAGAACAGAGTCTGCAGCAACAGGGCGAACCACACAACAGCAGGGCAGAGCCTCGGCAGGCAAACAGTGAATAGACTGCCTCCTAGCTGGGCAGGACACCTAAACAAACATCCAAAAATAAAGCCCGAACCCCCCAAGACAGAGCATTGGAGAAAAAAAGGGTTTTTTTAATGAGCTCTGTTGCAGCAGAATCAAACATAGCAGCCTAAAAGCCCTGAATGAACAACAGAGCTCACAGCTCAGCAATTGAGCTCCTATAAAGTACAGACTGTCTCCTCAAGCAGCTCCCTGACACCTCTATATCCAAAAGATTGACATTTGGCAGGCATCATCCTGGGACAAAGATAGCAGAAAAAGAAACTGGTAGCATCCCTGACTGTTCCGCACCTGCTATAGGTGCACCCCAGACAAGCAGGGCCTGGAGTGGACCTCAGCAGTCGTACAGCGAAGGGGCTAGACTGGTAGAAGGAAAACCAAGTAACAGAAATACTTCATCATCAACAATCTCGGTGTCCACTCAGAGACCGAATAAAAAAGTCAGCAACTACAAAGACGACAAGTGGATAAATCCACAAAGATGGGAAGAAACCAGCGCAGAAAGGAGGAAAACACCCGAAACCAGAACACCTCGCCTCCTAGAAGGGACCAAAACTCCTCACCAGCAAGGAAACAAAGCTGGATGGAGAATGACTGTAACGAAATGACGGCATTAGACTTCAGAAGGTGGATAATGAGAAACTTTAGTGAGCTAAAAAAAACATGTATTAAATCAAGGCAAAGAAACTAAGGAACTTAAAAAAAGATATGAGAAAAGATTTGAGGAAATGATAACAAGAATGGATAACTAAGAGAGGAATATGAATGAATTAAAGGAGCTGAAAAACACAATACGAGAACTTCGCGAAGCAAACACAAGTTTCAATAGCCGAATTGACCAAGCAGAAGAAAGAATATTTGAAGTCAAAGACCAACTCAATGAAATAAAACAAGAAACCAAGATTAGAGAAAATAGGACAAAAAGGAATGAACAAAGTCTCCAAGAAATGTGGGATTATGTGAAAAGACCTAACCTACGTTTGATAGGTGTACAAGAAGGGGACGAAGAGAATGAATCCAAGCTGGAAAATACTCTTCAGGACATCATCCAGGAAAATTTCCCCCACCTAGCAAGACAGGTCAACACTCAAATGCAGGAAATACAGAGAACACCACAAAGATATTCCGCAAGAAGAGCAACCCAAAGGCACATAATCGTCAGATTCAACAAGGTTGAAATGAAGGAGAAAATACTAAGGGCAGCCAGAGAGAAAGGTCGGGTCACCCACAAAGGGAAGCCCAACAGACTCACAGCAGATCTCTCGGCAGAAACCCTACAAGCCAGAAGAGAGTGGGGGCCAATATTCAACATTCTTAAAGAAAAGAACTTTCAACCCAGAATTTCATATCCAGCCAAACTGAGCTTCAGAAGTGAAGGAAAAATAAAATCCTTTGCGAACAAGCAAGTACTCAGAGATTTTGTCACCACCAGGCCTGCTTTACAAGAGCTCCTAAAAGAGTCACTACACATAGAAAGAACAACCAGTACCAGCCATTCCAAATTCACACTAAATGCTAAAGAGCATCAACATAATGAAGAATCTACAACAACTAACGGGCAAAACAGCCACTTGGCATCAAAATGGCGGTATCAAATTCACACACAACAATATTAACCCTAAATGTAAATGGACTAAATGCACCAATCAAAAGACACAGACTGGCAAAGTGGATAAAAAGCCAAAACCCATCAGTGTGCTGTATCCAGGAAACCATCTCACATGCAAGGATACGCAAAGGCTCAAAATAAAGGGATGGAGGAAGATTTACCAAGCAAATGGAGAGCAAACAAAAGCAGGAGTTGCAATTCTCATCTCTGATAAAATTGACTTTAAAGCAACAAAGATCAAAAGAGACAAAGAAGTACATTACATAACGGTAAAAGGATTGATACAACAAGAAGAGCTAACGATCCTAAACATATATGGACCCAACACAGGAGCACCCAGATACATAAGGCAAGTTCTTAATGACTTACAAAGAGACTTAGACTCCCACACAATAATAGTGGGAGACTTTAATACTCCACTGTCAATATTAGACAGATCAACCAGACAGAAAATCAACAAGGATATCCAGGGCTTGAACTCAGACCTGGAGCAAGTAAACGTGATAGACATTTACAGAACTCTCCACCCCAAATCCACAGAATATACATTCTTCTCAGCACCACATCACACCTACTCTAAAATTGACCACATAATTGGAAGTAAAGCACTGCTCAGCAAATGCGAAACAACTGAAATCATAACAAACAGCCTCTCAGACCATAGTGCAATCAAGTTAGAACTCAGAATACAGAAACCAACCCAGAACCGCACAGCTTCATGGAAACTGAACAACTGGCTCTTGAATGTTGACTGGGTAAACCATGAAATGAAGACAGAAATAAAGAAGTTCTTCAAAACCAATGAGAATGAAGACACAATGTTCCAGAATCTCTGGGACACATTTAAAGCAGTCTCTAGAGGAAAGTATATAGCAATAAGTGCCCATATGAGGAGAATGGAGAGATCCAAAATTGACACCCTATCGTCAAAATTGAAAGAGCTAGAGGAGCAAGATCAAAAAAACTCAAAACCCAGCAGAAGACAAGAAATAACTAAGATCAGAGCTGAAATGAAGGAGATTGAGACATGAAAAACCCTTCGAAAAATCAATAAATCCAAGAGCTGGTTTTTTGAAAAGATCAACAAAATAGACAGACCACCAGCCAGATTGATTAAAAATAAAAGAGAGAACAACCAAATAGATGCAATAAAAATAATAAAGGGGAAATAACCACAGATTCCACAGAAATTCAAACCATCATCAGAGAATATTACAAACAACTCTATGCACATAAACTAGTAAATCTGGAAGAAATGGATAAATTCCTGGACTCCTGTGTCCTCCCAAGCCTAAACCAGGAGGAAGCTGAAACTATGAATAGACTAATAACAAGGTCAGAAGTTGAGGCAGCAATTAAGAGCCTAACACACAAAAAAAGCCCATGTCCAGACGGGTTCACAGTCCAATTCTACCAGACACACAAAGAGGAGCTGGTACCATTCCTTCTAAAACTATTCCAAATAATCAAAAAAGAGGGAATCCTTCCCAAATCATTTTATGAGACCAACATCATCCTCATACCAAAACCCGGCAGAGACCCAGCAAGAAAAGAATAATTCAGGCCAATATCCATGATGAACATAGATGCAAAAATCTTCAATAAAATATTGGACAGCCAATTGCAACAGCAAATCAAAAAACTTATTCATCATGATCAAGTAGGATTCATCCCGGGGATGCAAGGCTGGTTCAACATATGCAAGTCTATCAACGTAATTCACCACATCAACAGAACCAAAAATCAAAAACCACATGATTATCTCAACTGACGCAGGGAAGGCATTTGACAAAATTCAACAGCCCTTTATGCTAAAAACCCTCAATAAACTCGGTATCTATGGAACATATCTCAAAGTAATAAAAGCTATTTATGACAAACCAACAGCCAATCTCATACTGAATGGGCAAAAACTGGAAGCATTCCCTTTGAAATCCGGCACTAGACAAGGATGCTCTCTTTCACCACTCCTATTCAAAATAGTACTGGAAGTTCTAGCCAGAGCAATCAGGCAAGAAAAAGAAATAAAGGGTATTCAAATAGGAAAGGTGGAAGCCAAATTGTCTCTACTTGCAGACAACATGATAGTATACCTAGAAGACCCCATCGCCTCAGCCCAAAAACTCCTGAAACTGATAAGCAACTTCAGCAAAGTCTCAGGATATAAAATCAATGTGCAAAAATCACAAGCCTTCCTCTACACCAATAACATACTTAAGGAAAGCCAAATCAAGAACGAACTGCCATTCACAATTGCTACAAAAACAATAAAATACCTTGAAATACAACTCACAAGGAACGTAAGGGACCTCTTCAAGGAGAACTACAAACCACTGCTCAACGAAATCAAAGAGGACACAAACAGATGGAGAAACATTCCATGTTCATGGTTAGGAAGAATTAATATCGTGAAAATGGCTATACTGCCCAAAGTAATTTACAGAATCAACACTATCCCCATCAAGCTATCATTGACTTTCTTCACAAAACTGGAAAAAACCACCATGAACTTCATATGGAACCAAAAGAGAGCCCGTATAGCCAAGTCAATTCTAAGCAAAAAGAACACAGCAGGGGGCATCACACTACCGGATTTCAAACCATACTACAAGGCTACAGTAATCAAAACAGCATGGTACTGGTACCAAAACAGAGATATAGACCAATGGAATGAAACAGAGGCACTGGAGGCAACACAACATATCTACAACTATACAATCTTTGATAAACCTGACAAAAACAAGCAAGGGGGAAAGGATTCCATGTTTAACAAATGGTGTTGGGAAAACTGGCTAGCCATGTGCAGAAAGCAGAAACTGGACCCCTTCCTGACACCTTACACTAAAATTAACTCCAGATGGATTAAAGACTTAAACACAAGACCTGGGACGATAAAAACCCTAGAAGGAAATCTAGGCAAAACTATCCAGGACATAGGAGTAGGCAAGGACTTCATGAACAAAACACCAAAAGCATTGGCAACAAAAGCCAAAATAGACAAATGGGACCTAATCAAACTCCACAGCTTCTGCACGGCAAAAGAAACAGTCACTAGAGTGGATCGGCAACCAACAGAATGGGAAAAAATTTTCGCAGTCTACCCATCTGACAAAGGGCTGATATCCAGAATTTACAAAGAACTCAAACAGATTTACAGGAATAAAACAAACAAGCCCATTCAAAAGTAGGCAAAGGATATGAACAGACACTTTACAAAAGAAGACATATATGAGGCCAACAATCATATGAAAAAATTATCATCGTCACTGGTCATCAGAGAGATGCAAATCAAAACCATACTGAGATACCATCTCACGCCAGTTAGAATGGCAATCATTAAAAAATCTGGAGACAACAGATGCTGGAGAGGATGTGGAGAAAAAGGAACACTTTTACACTGTTGGTGGGAGTGTAAATTAGTTCAACCATTGTGGAAGACAGTGTGGCGATTCCTCAAGGCCTTAGAAATAGAAATTCCATTTGACCCAGCAATCCCATTACTGGGTATATATTCAAAGGACTATAAATCGTTCTACTATAAGGACACATGTACACGAATGTTCATTGCATCACTGTTTACAATAGCAAAGACCTGGAATCAACCCAAATGCCCATTCATGATAGACTGGATTGGAAAAATGTGGCACATATACACCATGGAATATTATGCAGCAATCAGAAATGATGATTTTGTGTCGTTTGTAGGGACATGGATGAATCTGGAGAACATCATCCTCAGCAAACTGATACAAGAACAGAAAATGAAACACCGCATATTCTCACTCATATGTGGGTGATGAAAAATGAGAACACATGGACACAGAAAGGGGAGTACTAAACACTGGGGTCTATTGCGAGGAAAGGGGGAGGGCTAGTGGGAGGGGGAGGTGGGGAGGGATAACCTGGGGACAAATGCCAAATGTGGGTGAAGGGGAGAAAGGAAGCAAAACACACTGCCATGTGTGTACCTATGGAACTGTCTTGCATGTTCTGCTCATGTACCCCAAAACCTAAAATGCAATAAAAAATAAAAAATAAAAAAAGAAGCATCTGTGCCTATTACCATGGTCTTCCTTTTCCCTTTTTTCCATTTCTTTGGCTTTAAGATTAATTGAATATTACTTTATTGGACTAACAGGCTTATAATATCAATTGTAAAAAATTGATAAAAGTAGACAAATAATAATAATGTAACAATATAGGTTTCATTAGTTATAACCAATGTACCACATTAATATGTTAATAATAGGGTAAGCTGGGTGCAGGGCATATGGGAACTTTCTGTACTAGCTTTGTATTTTTTGTAAATCTAAACTCTTTTTAAAATAATGTTTATATTTTTATGAAAATTTCAAATTAAATACTATTTATAGAAGTGGAGAAAAAATTAGACAACTCAAGTGTTCTAATTTCTGTCCCATATATTGGCAACAACTCTTCATTGCCTTGGAATAGGTGCCCAGGCTAGGGCTTGGTATCATGAAAACCGTTCTAGGACTTTGCCTGCAACAGGATCCTCAGTGGACAGAATACAGATTAAGGTCTGGAGATCTAAAAGCATATCCCATGTTTAAAAAACCTGAATTAGACTAGTGTGGTGGCACTCACTAAGCTAGCAGTCTGAAATAATATCCTATGGAAATCTTTCTAGAAAAAATATCTAAGAAATGATAAAATCTCTCTGCATAGATCTGTTGCTCCCTGCATTATCTACAACACTGGAAAAATTAGAAACAACTAAGTATTCAATAATAGGAGTATAATTAATTGCCTTATGGACAGTCTACTCACTGAGATGTTACATAACCATTAAATGATTATGAAAATTGTGTCACATGAGAGAAAAAGGTTATTATATACTTATAATAAGATGGTGTTTTTAAATGAAAACACAAAATGTACATAGTATGTAAATGTAACTCTTTTCTATGACCATACGAAAGATCCAGATTATTAATTGTATAAATAACTCCCTTCCTTTAGGATGTCAAATATATGTTACACACCAGGCAGTGTTCTTTTTCTACATGCGCAATATCTTGAAAGCAGATTCTTCACATAGAGTTATAGTAAGTACTTTAAATAACAGGTAATACAACCTGACCCACATCGGATTAGAGAGTCATCTGGATGGGCAAACTGACTGGTAGGGCAAGGAGGCCCTCTTCCCAGATAGCAGCATATAGTTCTTTTCCCTAATTTATGCTTTAGTACTTAGAGAAAAATCTTTATTCCATCATTCATTCAGCAAACACTTTTTGAGCATCTCTGTGAAATGCTGGTAATAAATGAGCAAATTTTATATGGTTCTTGACCTCAAGGAATTTATAGACTAGTGGGAGATATAAATAACCCCACCAATATATCATTTTAAACAGTTGTGTTCCTACTATTAAAGGAAATACAGAGTGCTATGAAAGAGTATTATCAAAGGAATGGTTTAGATGGAGAGGCATTTTTGCTCAAAGACATAGCACACTGTCGTTGCAGACTACAATGCTAAGGACAAGGTAAATCTTAAATGTCAATTCACCTCCTTCACAAAGATTTACAATAAAGTCCTGCTGTAGGTCTTCCAAGTAAATATCCATGAACCCCCTAACTTCTCAACTTTCCCACAACTTCACTAACTGGTCCAGTTTCTTAGAAACGTTCTTATCTCATGTTTCCTAGAGTTGCCCTCACATTTAATCTTGGAAAAGATTTTTCTGCTGACTATAGGCCCAGATTCCTTATTCTTTCAATCTTCTAATGAGAGGTAGTAGGGGGAGAAAGGAAAAAGCTACAGAAAAGCTAGGTATATAGAACATTTATAGCCAGTCTTCCTGGCATCCCACCCCCTTCTTCTGACATGACCCTGATAGTCATCTGGGGATCTACTACTTCCCCACTCTCGGCCTGATGGACTGGTTGAGGCAACCTTCCCAGAACCACGGGTGAAGTACACAACTCAGCCCAAAGTCATCCCAGGCATCATTCAGCGGCAAGCATTAGCCAATCCATTATCAGAATAATGCGATATAGAATCTTGCTCTATTTCACTGGTTTTAAACCTAGCAGGATTAGCTAAAACACTCTTATAATTACAAAAAGAGGGCCTGCCTGAGAATAGATTGAATACACAAAAAGCTATACTGAGAGATGGAAAAAGGAGAAATAGACCCCGATAACAGTTTGAGACCCAGACTCCAGGCCAGTTTTTTTGTTTTTTTGTTTGTTTGTTTGAGATGGAGTCGCGCTCTGTAGCTTAGGCTGGAGTGCAGTGGTGCGATCTCGGCTCACTGCAACCTCCACCTCCCGAGTCCCAGTTCAAGCAATTCTCCTACCTTAGCCTTCTAAGTAGCTGGGATTACAGGCACGAGCCACCATTCCCAGCTAATTTTTGTATTTTTTAGTAGAGATGGGGTTTCACCATGTTGGCCAGTGTGATCTTGAACCCCTGAACTCAAGATCTGCCCACCTCAGCCTGCCAAAGTGCTGGGATTACAGGTAGGAGCCACCATATCCTGCAAGCCAGTCTTTCCTTGTATGTCCTACATCTGGTCCATGGAAAATGCTCTTGGTATTTTCCCAACAAACACTGGAAAAAGAGGCCAACCAACACAGACACATCTCCTTCACTCCTGGGGTCAGAGGAGCTAACAGACTGGTATCTGTCTCTTAGATTTTCCTTATAATCATCAGACACTGGTCTACTATGTTCCTTTAACCACAGAGGGCACATACCAAGTTCTCCATGCCATCCATTAAATATCCTTTTCTCTTAACTTGAGATGAAGATATAAGCACCCTCTCAACTCACCTTGGTGAAGACAGGACTTAGCACAACTCTTTTTTAAAAGAAAAAACAAACTTGTCCATCTTGAGATCATCTCTACTCTCTTAATTCTTTCATGATCTTTCTGTAGGTGAGGGATTCAAAAATCATGTAATCAGTTTTTAGTTTACTCCTTTGGAAATTCTACTTACAAACTGTCTCCTGCTTTAGAATGCAACATTAACCGTACCCTTGGATCTTTTCAGAAACTTCCATTTTCACATTCTGTTACACATGTGAACATCACCTATCATATATTTCACAAGGGGAAAAAATTAAAAGCTGCTTCAATGTTTTCACATTTCCTGCAAATTCCAAAATGAGAAGCTTCACCCTGAACTAATCGTAGGTGAGAACCTAGTTCATACTTTCAGTATATGGGGAATTTTGAGGGGTTTAGAGAAAAGCAATCAAGATGATTAAAGATATGAAAATTAAGGATAAAAAAAATTACAATCTCTTAAAATCTAATGTCTCACTATAGTCCTATATAAGAATGAGTACACCCCAGTGTAGGTTATCAAGCTAGTTCACCTAAACTCATAACAAGTTTGACTTGGCTATAAGAGTACTTGCCTAAATCTTAGCAGAAAGAATTATTAACTACTTTAATGGGTTACCAATGGAGGCCAACCATCTTCCTTTGGAGTCATTTAAAAGAAAGAAGAGCCTCTCTTTAGGATAGTTTAGCAGAATTATTAAAAAGTCAAAAAAAAATAACAGGTGCTGGCAAGGTTGCAATGAAAAAGGAAGGCTTATACACTGTTGGTGAGAGTGTCAATTAGATCAACCATTGTGGAAAACAGTGTGGTGATTCCACAAAGACCTAAAAACAGAACTACCATTCAGCCGAGTAATTCCCTTGCTGAGTATATATACCCAAAGGAATATAATTTGTTCTATCATGCAGACACATATATGTCTTATGTTCATTGCAGCACTATTTACAATAACAAAGACATGAAATCAACCTAAATGTCCATCAATGGGAGACTGGATTAAGAAAATATAGTACATATAAACTGTGGAATACTATGCAGCCACTAAAAAAAAATGAGATCATGTCCTTTGCAGGAACATGGATGCAGTTGGCAGTCATTATCCTTAAAAAACTAATGCAAAACAGAAAACAAAATACCGTATGTTCTCACTTATAAGTGGGAGCTAAATGATGAGAACAGAGACACATAGAGGGGAACAACAGACACGGGTGCCTATTGGAGGTGGAGGGTGGAAAGAGGGAGAGGATCAGTGCAAATAATTAATGAGTACTAGGCTTAGTACCTAGGTGACAAAACAATCTGTACAATAAACTCCGAAGTTACAAGTTTACCTATAAAACAAATTTGCATAGGCACCCCTGAACTTAAAATAAAAGTTAAAAAAAAATAAATAAAGTAGTTCAGTAGAAATCTTGCTCTAAAACAGGGATGTGATCACTTTAACACATCATGAACCTTCTTAATGTATGGCCATTGTTGATTCTCCTACTCATGTTTCTCCCGGTCCCTTATTGGTTTCTTTTTCTCTGATCTCCTTTTGTTTATCCTGTGTACCTCCTGTTTCTCAACATCCTGTGCAAGGTGTTTCTGGAAGGCAGTATTCCTGGGAGTGAGCTTCTGATAACTGTTTAGAACAGTTTAGAATAAGAAGTGAAGATAAATTCTCCATCCATAATTGAAACACAACACTATACCTTAATTTATGGTTTTGAAAGGCTCTGAGATGTTTTCTCATTTGTGCCACTCATAGAATTTTCTTCTAAAGTCTGAGCTTGGTTTTAATATCCCATAGAATTCTACAATTGGAGAGAAAGACTTCAAAGATTGCGGGAGTCTGCCAATTTCTGGAAGGTTTTTATTGGCTGCAAGTTATGATTCAAATGTGCTGTTCAGTTTAGTATGCTAACAGATATTTCTAAAATGAGCTGCCTCTGGTTTTGCAGTGCTATCTAGAATAATAACGTAAAATATGTACAACAGTATGGGAGACAAAAGATAAGGTCAGAGGAAAACAGGTCAAGCAACTCAAAAAAAGTTAATAAAACTGTTAATAAAGCCTTTTATGCTTTTGTCACACATATTCTCCCCCTACTCTTCAACTCTGGTATGCATATTGGCTTTCCAAGTGTGGTTAAGGGGTTCTGATGTATGTGTGTGAGATTGAGATATATATATTCATATATGTGAGATATCTCTCTCTCTCTCTCTCTCTCTCTCTCTATATATATATATATATATATATATATGAGATCTATAGACAGATTAGATAGATAGATAGATAGATAGATAGATAGATAGATAGATAGATAAATAGATAGATAGATAATCTCACATATATGAACTGCTGGCACATGAGACATATCTCCAAACCTCAATAAAGGAAAAAAAAATTTTAGAGGAGAAAACTGTTATTTGCATATATAGCTAGATACCTATACATCAAACTCTCAGCTTGCTATTTCTTTCATCACCCTGAGTCCCTGTAGCAAAGGTATGCCCAGCACCACAGACCATTTTTTTCTCTATCTCACGAATTCTGGTTTATTCAACATGTGGAAAGTGAACCATATCATGAGTTCACAATGTAAAAATTTCATACATAGGGAAATGCAATGTTCATCATTGTCTTCAGCAGAACCACACAGATCACAGGGGAGAGTACATTTAAGAAAGCTTAAGTGATAATGTATTGACTGAGAAGATTATCCTACCTGATATTTCTGCAAGACCTAATTCAAAGGGCCAAGGCATCATTCCAGCAAATCAAGTTAAAAAGAAAAGAGGCTTATTTTTATAATCCATCTTTCTTCAGTAAGGGTGGTTTTTATAAGCCACAGGCTTCTCAGCCAGCTGGTCTGTCTAATGATGACCCTGGGGAGACAACAACACGTGTCTACATTTCTCCATCTCTATTTGCAAAATGCACCCAGATTAGTTCTAGAATTTGTCTGGTAAGGTGACTCTTCCCAGAGAGGCTGATACTCAACTCTCTGGTCAGCAACATACTCCAGAAAGAGGCAGACAGCCTACAACCCAATACCTCCCTGAGGAGCAAAGATGATGCCATGAAATTCCCCCTGACGAGATAGAAGTAAAACAAATCCACTGTCCTATTAAACAGCTCAGATGTTTTTTCATTAATACTCAGAAGTACCAGGGTTCCTTTCTGAACCTCAGCTGCCTCATCTATAGAAAGGTTTGCTCAGTTTGTCCCTTCCTGTTCCAACATGCTGTGATTCTGCTCCCTGACCTAACAATTTCTGTTGCGCTATACACACTTTTTATGATCCCTTCCCCCGCATTTCTCTTTTCTATTGCCAGCCACAGAGCCAGGCTCTCACATCCAGTAGGACATCTCTCTTATTTATTAAACCAAAGCCATATAATCTCTCTGCCTTTGTAATTCACTGTCTAGCTTTAGCCTGAATTGAAAACCAAACACTCAAGCTATACAACACAAAATTCACCAAAAATGTATCTCATGTCAAAAGCACAGCAATAAGTCTTTGCCAATCTTCCAAGCGTCTATTCATCTCCTTTTTTGCCAAATTTAATTATATAGTCTACATGACACCACCTCTCTTACTGTCACTAAACTGTCACCAAATCCCTTCATAAACACCTGATTAGATTTCCTCTGCCAACACTCCACAGAAATATTTATCTTGAAGGTCATTAATTACTAAATCTAAAGCTTAAACTGATGAAATTTTCTCAGTCCTTGTTATTCACCATCTTTTTTCAACATTTGGTACAATGATCTATTTTTTTTACTTCAGAATCCTACTAATTTTTATATTCCAAATTTTGCTTGTGTACATTAAAAACAGTCAATTGTTGAGAATTATTACTGCTGTTAATTTCAGCATCCTAAATATTCAAGTTAAGAAGGGAAATATTTATATTTGAAAAAGCTCGTCTTTTTCATACTTTAAATCCCCACCAATATCTTTTCCCCATTATTATTTATTTTTTAGAATGGCCTTATTCTACTTCATCAAATATGCACTTGTTTTCTAAGTAGTTCTACCTCTTCACATTAGTCTAGAATACATGAAATAATTTTTTTTTCTTTTTTAAAAAATAGAGAAACCTTGTGGTTATCCTTGCATACATAGAAACACTGATCTTTTAAAAACATGAATTTTATGTAGAATGTGGAATAAAATGTCAATATTTGTATGTAGCATTTAAGTACATTTTTCCTTTCTTACAAGGAGAGAAAAGCCAGCAAGAGATTTCTGATAACTATCATTACCTTAAAGTCTGTTTTTCTAAATAGTAACCTTTGACACCCAGTAACAAATTATAAAACAAATAGGATAAGACTACAAGAACACGGGATTACTTTTAGTGCTCTAAAGGTAGGCGTTCTGCAATATCATGAGGCTGTGAAAGGCCTAGCACACAGGCATTTGCTTTCATGGCCAACATAGATGATTATTGTATTTTATCATTTAAAGCACAAGAAATAATAAAAGCCATAGAACTTTTTATTTTCATTTTAACAAGTGATATTCCTGTACATGTGCATGAATAATGCCTTTTTTTTTTTTTTTTTTTTTTTTTTGAGACGGAGTTTCGCTTGTTACCCAGGCTGGGTTGCAATGGTGCAATCTCGGCTAACGGCAACCTCCGCCTCCTGGGTTCAGGCAATTCTCCTGCCTCAGCCTCCTGAGTAGCTGGGATTACAGGCACACGCCACCATGCCCAGCTAATTTTTTTTTTGTATTTTTAGTAGACATGGGGTTTCACCATGTTGACCAGGATGGTCTCGATCTCTTGACCTGGTGATCCACCCACCTCGGCCTCCCAAAGTGCTGAGATTACAGGCTTGAGCCACCGTGCCCGGCCTGCCTTTTTTTTAACTTAGTAATCATGCATCATGTGAGTGGGTAATGAAGAAATGATATTCTTTACCATGACAAGTGGGCTAAACACTTCAAAGGACGCTTCACAAAGCATTTGAAATTAGAGCTTGAGGTATCGTGAAGTTAGTTTTTAACTTAGAGATGAATGAGAGAAACAAACAAAAAAAATTACCATAGGTGATAATAGTTTGCTCAATAAAAATTTAAAAATACTGAAATCATACAAGACTATCAGTAAAATGACCAGGCAAATCCCCAGGTATTAGTGGGCATTTAAAATATGAAAAAGATAAGCTTTCTTTTTTAACATAAATATTTCTTGTCTTAATTTAAATATCCACACAAATATTTAGGGTGCTGAAATTACAGCAGCAATAGCAATTCTCACTTACATTCATTTTCTACCATGCTGCATCTGGTCATTTTTCTTTTTTTTTTTTTATTATACTTCAAGTTTTGGGATACATGTGCAGAACATGCAGGTTTGCTACACAGGTATGCACATGCCATGATGGTTTGCTGCACCCATCAACTCGTCACCTACATTAGGTATTTCTCCTAATGTTATCCCTCCACTAGGTCCCCACACCCCAACAGGCCCCAGAGAGTGATGTTCCCCTCCCTGTGTCCATGTGTTCTCACTGTTTAACTCCCACTTATGAGTAAGAACATGTAGTGTTTGGCTTTCTGTTCCTGTGTTAGTTTGCTTACAATGATGGTTTCCAGCTTCATCCATGTTCCTGCAAAGGAAATGAACTCATCCTTTTTTATGACTATAAAGTATTCCATAGTGTATATGTGCCACATTTTCTTTATCTGGTCTATCATTGATGGGCATTTGGGTTGGTTCCAAGTCTTTGCTATGGTGAACAGTGCTGCAATAAACATACATGGGCATGTCTTTATAGTAGAATGATTTATAATCCTTTAGGTATATACTCAGTAATGGGATTGCTGAGTCAAATGGTATTTCTAGTTCTAGATCCTTGAGGAATCACCACACTGTATTCCAAAATGGTTGAACTAACTTATGCTCTCAGCAACAGTGTAAAAGCATTCCTTTTTCTCCACATCCTCTCAAGCATCTGTTGTTTCCTGACTTTTTAATGATTGCCATTCTAACTGGTGTGAGATATCTCATCATGATTTTGATTTGCATTTCTCTAACAACCAGTGATGATGAGCTTTTCACATGTTTGTTGGCTGCATAAATGTATTCTTTTGAGAAGTGTCTGTTCATGTCCTTCACCCACTTTTTAATGGGACTAATTTTTCTTGTAAATTTGTTTATGTTCCTTGCAGATTCTGGATATTAGCCCTTTGTCAGATGGATAGATTACAAAGATTTTCTCCCATTCTGTAGGTTGCCTATTAACTCTAATGACAGTTTCTTTTGCTGTGCAGAAGTTCTTTAGTTTAATTAGATCCCATTTGTCAATTTTGACATTTGTTGCCATTGTTTTTTGTGTTTTAGTCATGAAGTCTTTGCTCATGCCTATATCCTGAATGGTATTGCCTAGGTATTCTAGAATTTTTATGGTTTTGGGTCTTATATTTAAATCTTTAATCCATCTGGAGTTAATTTTTTTATAAGGTATAAGGAAGGAGTCCAGTTTCAGATTTCGGCATATGGCTAGCCAGTTTTCCCAACACCATTTATTAAATAGGAAATCCTTTCCCCATTGCTTGTTTTTGTCAGGTTTGTCAAAGATCAGATGGTTGTAGATGTGTGGCGTTATTTCTGAGGCCTCTGTTCTGTTCCATTGGTCTATATATCTATTTTTGTACCAGCACCATGCTGCTTGGTTACTGTAAACTTGTAGTATAGTTTGAAGTCAGGTAGTGGGATGAATCCAGCTTTTTTCTTTATGCTTAGGATTTTCTTCCCTATATGAGATCCTATTGGTTCCATATGAAATTTGAAGTAGTTTTTTTCAACTCTGTGAAGAAAGTCAATGGTAGCTTGATGGGGATAGCACTGAATCTATAAATTACTTTGGCCAGTATGGCCATTTTCACAATATTGATTCTTCCTAACCATGAGCTTGGAATGTTTTTCCACTTCCTTGAGCAGTGGTTTGTAGTTCTCCTTGAAGAGATCCTTCACATCCCTTGTAAGTTGTATTCCTAGGTACTTTATTCTTTTTGTAGCAATTGTGAATGGGAGATCACTCATGATTTGGCTCTCTGTTTCTCTATTATTGGTGTATAGGAATGCTTGTAATTTTTGCACATTGATTTTGTATCCTGAGACTTTCTGAAGTTGCTTATCAGCTTTAGCATATTTTGGGCTGAGACAATGAAGTTTACTAAATATACAATCATGTTGTCTAAGACAGAG